CTTAAGTGTGTCAATGATCATTATTTATTTGTCTAGTTATTTATTTTGTGGCATTGGAGATTGAATCCAGGGCCTTGTGCATGCTAAGTAAGTATTGTACTGAGCAACACAATGCCCAGACAAAAACAATCACTCCTAAAGCAACTAAATTGGTGTCCCATCTGCATACACATATAAGAAAACATGATTAATCAGATGGATCCTGACTTCTCTTTAGAGAACAAGGTATGTGTTTTAAGTGACACTATTCCCATGTCTGGTCTCTTTCTTTTTTTTTGGGGTCCGGTTGTGGGGCCTGAACTCTGGGCCTGGGCACTGTCCCTCAGTTCTTCAGCTCAAGGCTAGCACTCTACCACTTGAGCCACAGCGCCACTTCCGACTTTTTTTTTCTTTTTGCTTACGTGGTGCTGAGGAATAGAACCCAGGGCCTCATGCATGCAATGCAAGCACTCTACCACTGAGCCACCTTCCCAGCCCCCCATGTCTGGTCTCTTGACCCCTCTCCCCCCACCCTTTTCTTTTGCCAGTACTGGGGCTTGAACTCAGGGACTTCATATCTTGCTTGGCTTTTTTTGTTTAAGGCTAGTTTTTGTTTAAGGCTCTACCACTTAAGCCATATTTTCACTTCAAGCTCTTTGCTGGTTAACTGGAGATAAGAACCTCATAGAATTTCCTGCCAATGCTGGCTTTGAAACCCTTAGATCTCAGCCTCCTGAATAGTAGGATTACAGATGTGAACCACTAGCATCTGGCAGGAGTCATCTTGACTCTTCTTGTCTGCTTCATCAGTAAATCTTGTTAGTGTTCCTTCCAAATTACAAGTTGAATATCGCTCTACTATGAAATTCTGGAATGTTCCAAAAATCTAAAGTGTTTTTTTTTTTTTTTTGGAACTCCGGGCCTGGGCACTGTTCCTGAGCTTCTTTTGTTCAGGTCTCTACCACTTGAGCCACAGTGCCACTTCTGGATTTTTCTGATAAGAGTCTCACATTTTTTCTTCCCTGGGCTGACTTTGAACCATGATTCTCAGATCTCAGCCTCCTGAGGAGGCTAGGATTATAGGCATTAGCGACCAGCACCTGGACAAAATCTAAAGTTTTCTAAATGCTGAAATGACACTATAAAACTCCACACCTGACCTCGATTTGAGCACAAACTGTGTCATGCACGCACAGAATTATTAAGAACACTATTACTTTTTAGCTATATGTTCAATGCTATAAAGGAATTTTGTGTTTAGATTTGGGTCTTATAACTGAGAAATCTCATTAGTTATATGCAAATGTTATAAAAATCTAAAATACTTACCTCAAGCTTTTTGGATAAGGGGTTTTCAACCCATATATCCCAAATGTAACCACTTGCTATGCTACTAGTAGCCACTAGGTGGCTGTTCCCAGTCACAATCATCTCTTGCTAAGAGTCCTGCTAAAGCTCTAACTGGATTGAGTCTAACTTTGTTCTAATCTCCTGTCCCTCAGCAGTGATCTACTTACTGATAACATAACTTCAGGTATACATTTTTCTTCTTCTTCAGGTGAGTCAGATTATAAAATCCTACACTGCTTTATCTCCACTTGCCTCTTGCTCCTCTTTCCTAGTTCTGCTTTGACGCTTGTAGGCTTATTCATTCCCACCTCACTACATTACTGTTTTCCTCTGCTGTAAACACACTTCCTCCAGATTCTCATTGCTAACCCCACATCCCACTCAGCCCTCTGTTCAGTTCAGATACTACCTTCACAAGACCCAGCCTGATCACCTATTCCTGCCACAGGCAGTCTTCCCCTCCAGCTCTCTCCTCCTTTATCCTCTCTTACCTGGCCTTCTGGAATACTTCATATTTATTGTTTCTCCCCTTCCCTCCCCTCCCAATACACAAACTCCACCAGGGAACTGCTGCATTGTTCATTGGTATCTCTCTTGAGCCTGGAATAGACCTAAGAATTGACAGGCACTTACGAAATATTTCTGAATAAATGAAACTGTCCAATTTTTTTTGCCATTCACTGTAGAAATGGGCTGGCATTTGCCTCCAGGCCTTTTGTTCAGGAAAATTTAAAACTCATTTTTTTTCTCCAACTTTGTTCCTAACTCTTCTTTATGTTACTTGGACATATTTCCTTGTAACATTATCTACTTCAACTTCCTCTTTCACAAGTCAACTCTTCAAAACACAAAACAAACTTATTTTTTCCTTCCTTTTGAGTTTTCTTCAGTTATTTTAAACTATGCTAGTTTCTACCTCTCTAACAAGACTAGCTTTTGTCTCCCTCCCCTCCCCCACCAATAATGGCACACTTTCTCCTAACCTCTGTTCAGAACTGACTGCACTGATGCTGGTGAGTGTGAACCCTTAAAAATAGGCAGTTCTCCTTTTTTGTGTGCTTGTTCTGGGCTGTACCCGCCTTGAACTCTGTCATACCAAACGTTCGACTTAAAAGTTTTCTTTGTTGCTTTGTTTGTCCCTCCCTCATGGTATAACCCCTGTTTTCACTGTATTTGATGTTGGTATAATTTGTGGAGGAGAAGGGGAAAAAACAAATCGTTTAAATAGGAGGACCCATTGCAACAATGAGATGTACAAGACGCTATGTCGAAAAACAAACTTTACAACTTTGGGGGGATGGAAGGGCGGGAATGGGAAGGGGAAACAAAGGAGGAGACAACAATGCTTGATAAGAAATGCACCCATTACCTTGCTCATGTAATTGTAACCCCTCTGTACAGTATTTTCACAATAAAAAAATTAAGAAAAAAAGAAAGTATGGGACCACAGCATCATCACAGCTCCTGGGAGCTTTCTTTCTTATCTAGTTGGCTTCTGATGGCCCGAGGGCAGCTTGCCTTCCTTGCCTGGGAGATACCTGGACACTGGATTTGTGGGTCCCAGAGAAAGCCCTTCAGAGTGCGTTTGATGAGTAGTACCCCGCAAACTCTCTGAAGGGGGGACGGTGCCCAATGGCTTATCTTCATTCTCCCATCCCTGGGGTGGGGGTGGGGGGCAGGTGGGACCCCTCGGAAGACGTGGATAAAAAACCCAGGTTGACAGCACTAGAGATCTTGGGCTCTGCCCGGCCCTGGGTCCCAGCCCTGGGTCTTACCAGCCGCAGCAACTTTACGTGGCCTTTCACGCTGCAGCAGAAGGGGCGGTACCTTCCTTTCACCCGGCTGGTCTCCGTTGTGCCCATCATCAGCCGTACTCCTCCACACTAGGCTGCGGGTTCGAGACTCGTGCGGAGATCGCAACCGTCAGAGCCACGCCCAGCAGCTGCTCTGAGTTTCAGGGTCTAAGACGCGCGCGCTGGGGGGCGCATGCGCTGCCGGGCGCTCCGTGTGCTCCACTCCCGCGCACGCGCCCCGCCGTCTCTGGCAGGCAGGGCGGGGCCCGTTGCAAGTTCGGCTGCGGTGGAGCGCCCCAGCCGCACGCAGCCTTCGGTATTAGTGATTGCTCAGCTCTGCGGTTGGGAAATGGTGGCAGGTTTGGGGGAGGGGATGGCGATAGGTTAGGGAGGGAGGTGCAGGGAAAGTTGGCCCACACCTTGAATATCTCTTACCTGCTTAGTTAGGATTTCCCTGGGTCTCCCGTCCGCTGTGCAGGAGTGGCAGGCGCCCCCGGGCACCCTCTGTCACAGTGTCCAGGGTGGCAACAGCTGGGTTTTTATGTCCCGGGTGGTTGAATTTAGACTACTTATCTACTCCAACCCTGGCTGGATTTTTTTTTTTTTCAATTCGGCTCTTATTTTAATTAGAACACAATGAAATCAAGATACAGATCTAATTTGGTATCTAGTCAATAAAGAAGGGACAGTGGGACCACATCGAGGAAGGGAAGGTGCAGCAATGATCAACAAGTAATGTACTCATTTCTTTACTCAACTGTCACCCCTCTGTACAGCATCTTTACAATAAAATTTAAAAAATAATTTATTCACTAATGTGTAGTATAATTTTACATGAATTAGTTCATGTGAATGGCAAAAACTCAATTAAAAGCTTCGCGGATACTTTTTAGATACTTCACTGGCTAAATGGTATTTATTTTCATAATACTGTCCCTTAAATTTTGGTCTTCTGTTTCAACTAGACATCCAAAGAATTGCGAAATCTCCCCAGCTCTGGGAATTTCCTGGGTGGATTTTTTTTCCCTCCCTGATTATAGGTGTGACTTACAAGCGTCCCCTCATTTTTTTTGGGGGGGGGGAGTCGGTCGTGGGGCTTGAACTCTGGGCCTGGGCGCTGTCCCTCAGCTCTTCAGCTCAAGTCAAGCTCTCTCTACCACTTGATCCTCAGCGCCACTTCCGGTTTTCTGGTGGTTTATTGGAGATCAGAGTCTCACGGATTTTCCTGCCCGGGCTGGCTTTGAACCGTGATCCTCAGATCTCAGCCTCCCTAGTAGCTAGGATTACAGGCGTGAGCCACGGGCGATCGGCTTCCAAGAGAATCTTGTTTCCGATTAACCACCAGAAACACGGCATCGGCTCAAAGTGGTAGAGCACTAGCCTTTAGCGAAGAAGCTCAGGGACAGTGCTCAGGCCCTGAGTTCGAGCCCCACGACTGGACTGACAAAAAAAAAATGGCTTTAACTCCAGGTGACCCCGGCCGCCCCCCCCCCCCCCCCCCCCCCCCCCCCCCCCCCGTCGCAGTGACCAGCTCAGGGAAAAGGAGTGAAGACAGAGAGCCACTTTCAGGGTTGTTGAGACGCGACTAGGCACGTGCCAGCCAGGAGACGGAAGGAGTCTGAGATCACTCAAATGATCCGCAGAGTCGCCTATCAGTCCCAGAAACTAGCCATCCTCATTCCCAGTGTTCTCAACTCACAGCCGGGGGCGCCTCGCTCCGCCCTGCCCGGGATCCCTTCTATCCCAGCGAGTGGGAGAAATGCGCCGAGGTCCCTTTAAGGCGGCGGCGGGGGGCGTGGCGATGGGCGTGTCGGGGGCGGTGCCTGGGAGGGGGTGGGAGCGGGGCGGGCTCCGCCCCGGCACCGGAAGGAAGCGCGGGTTGCGGTCCGCGCCCGGCCATGCTGCTGCTGCGGTCGCTACGGGGCTGGGCCGCCGGGGCGCTGCGGGGCAGCCGGCCGAGGACCTCCGGGAGCCCCGCCTCGGGCTCCGGGCCTCGGTACCGCGCTTGGCTTCCGGGTAACTCGTGCCTGGCGCCCACCGCGCTGGCGTCGCGCTGTCTCCCTGCGCCCCAACCCCTGGATTGGCGCCAGGGCCAGCTGGTCTCCCGCCCGCTGCCGGGGGCGGGGGGGGGGCGTGGGATGGGGTGCGGCTAGATTCCGGGTGCCTCGCTGGCGGTGGGACCCTTCCCTGCAGAAAGGAGACTCACTGCCCTCCTGGCCTCAGGGTGGCCTTCGCTGTGCTGAGGCTGCTGAGAGGTGTCCCACACCACCTTCCAGGTTCATGGGGAGCCATGCCCACCCTGGGTGGCCCTAATGGGCAGCCAGGGGCCCAGCCCTAAACTATCCTGGGCACTGGCTGTCCACCCTAATCGCTGACTGCAGGCCCCCGGCCGCCCTCCATCCCAGCCAGAAAGGCGTGGGGAATTGGAAAGGTTTAATATGCCCAGTGAAAGAATTGAGCACCCGGGACAACGTGCCCACAGCACCCAGGCCCGCTACACAGAGTCCCAGGGAGGTAGTCAGTGTCAAGCTCTCTTGCTCCACCACCAGCCCCTACACTCACACTGAGGGTCTCAGGGATGGAAAACATCTTTAGGTATGGGAGTGACTTATAACTATTATTGTTTAATGTGACAGTTTAGCAAATGAAGGCCTAGAAGAATGAGTTATTTAAAACAAACATTGATTTGCCTTTTCTGTTTTGTAGATAGAGAAAATGAAAAAGAGAAAAAGTCAGTGGTAAGTTCCGCTTGTGTGCACTCTCCACTGTAGGCTGAGTTTTTATTTCATTTCTTTGCGAGGAGGGGAGTGAAGGAGTATGCCCTTATAGTAAAAAACAGAACCACAATGGGGGGGGGGGGGGAGCTGGGAAGGTGGCTCAGTGGTAGAGCGCTTGCCTTGCATGCATGAGGCCCTGGGTTCGATTCCTCAGCACCACATAAGCAAAAAGAAAAAAGCCAGAAGTGGCACTGTGACTCAAGTGGTAGAGCGCTAGCCTTGAGCTGAAGAGCTAAGGGACGGTGCCCAGGCCCAGAGTTCAGGCCCCATGACCAGACCCCCCCCCCAAAAAAAAAAAAAACCACAAGAGGATCTCCAGGGTTATGAAAATCGATTACCATCCCCCAGCCTCAGACTCCCACCCCCAGTATGTCTGCACACATGTGTTCCTGTTCTCTAGATAGAGGGTGACTGCTGAAGCTGGATAGGGTGACTAGGAAAACACTGGAAAATTCTTGCCCTGAGTAGGAAATGCTGCTTTCATTGGGTTGGGTTGTCTACTTGTGAGGGAAGGTCAGGGAACCACCATCTCCTACCACACAGTGCTGAGGCTGATGGATGGGAAAGGGATCAGAGAGAATCTATGAGGGTCTCCAGGTGTACGTTCATCATGAAGTGTTTTGGAGATGCTGGCTTTTAGGCCCTCTGGGTTGTTGGGCCTTCAACTGGAGACACCGTCACTTCCCTGGGTTTTCAATTTGGATGTGGACCGAGCCATCGGGTCTCCAGCATCAGATGACCTGTCATGGGATGGGCAACCTTTATAATCACATGAGTGTATTTCCCTAGTTAATTCTCTCTCATGTATTAAGCTCAGAGGCCGTTGACATTGGATTTGAATACAAGGATGCTCTAGCTGACTAGAACTGAGGCAATACTTTGGTCATCATTCCAGAAGCTCAGTTCCTCAAGGGAACTGGAAATGAGTAGCTCCACTGGCTGGGGATGGGGTAGCATGAGCAAAGGTTTCCTGAGGAGGAGAGTTTGATTTACCTGTCCAAGTCTTGCACTGAGTCATTCTGCTGTTCACCTGAGCCCTTCCCTGTGCTGTGTTCCCCATGCTGCACTTGAAGCTCTAATGTGTATTTGTATCTTGCTAGATTTGTGTTGAGGGCAATATTGCAAGTGGAAAGACAACATGCCTGGAGTTCTTCTCCAACACGACAGACATTGAGGTATGGAGTTTGAGCTACTGGGTTTGAGAGAATCAGAAGAAGCTTGATGAAATAATTTATTCAGGGCATAGACCACTCCTGTCCAATAGAAGACTGTTGGGACCCGCCAGTGCAAGCCACATATGTGACTGAACGCTTCTTGAAAAAAAACAAAACATTTAATACACGACATCCCAAATGTGATATCACATTAACATATTGTCAACATGAAAATCATCAGTGAACTATTTTTTTTTTTTTACAATATGTCTTTGGGATCTGGTGTCATCTTGACTAGATTAAGGAATATGGTAATTCTTTCTAATCTGTGTTTGCATATGAGGTCAATCATGGTGACCTCATTATTTAACATTTAATCATGCTAAGTAAAAAATCCCAGAGTAAACAATTCCTATGGCTTAAATTTGTCCACTGTAGCAGGATGTACTTGATGAAAGTTCATTCCATCCCACACTTTCTCACTCAAGACATGAATCATCGCTTTGCCCACTTTACCTGTATCGTTTGTGCTACCCTCCTGTAAGTTACACAGTAGTTATGTATCGTCAGATCAGCTACAGTGGTTCCAAAGCTCAAGAATAGCATTGCTGGCAATTTTATTACAGTATGTTGTTACTATTGTTCTGTTTTGATTGTTCCTTGTGAATCCATTTGTGTCTAATATATAAAGTAAGCTTAATTATAGTATGTGTGCATAGGACAAAACAGTAAATAGTGTTTGGTAAAATCTTTCATTCTGGGAAACATCTGCTTTGAATATGGAGAGACTTCTGTACCTAGAGAACTGGTCACGTGTGTTTCTATGTGTCTGAATGGTATTTCCAGAGGAGATTGGGATGTGAGTCAGGTGACTGAGTGGGGAAGATCCACCATCAGTGGGGTGAGGAGGAGAGGGAAGACAACATTTCAATTGGCTAGAGACCTGGATAGAACAAAACGGAGAGAAGTTCTCCCTATCCTAGCATTAGAACTCTTTCTCCTGTTCTTAGAGGTTGGAACTCTAGACTCTCTGGTCTTGGGATGTCAGAACTTGGGTCTGAGGCCCCTGGGTTCCTGGGCCTTCAGCTGGAGACCTAGTTGCTTCCCTGGCTTTCAGATTTGGACGTGGACTGAGCCATGCTTCCAGCATCCTCAGGTCCCCAGCTTCACATGACCTGTCATTGTACCGAGTTCTCAGCCTCTGTAACTTCTTATTTCCCTTTCATGGATCTATCTCTGCAGTCATATTGTGGATTCTGTTTCATATTGCCCCCTGACTAATATTCATGGCTAGTGTGTTCTGGGGCCAGATCCTAGTTCCGGTGCCTGGTTCCAGGGGCCTTGTTGTATTCTGTGGTGTGAAAACCTCCGTTAGCTTTGGTCGGACACGGAGCCTTTAGACCTGGCCAAGGTTCAGTGGTTCTCAGGCTCTTTCAGGAGGTTGCACAGGGAGGCCCCATCTAGATGGAGTTGTGGCCTCACAGAGAGGTTGCTTGGCTGTTTGGCCCACTCTGAGCACCTGAACTTTGACACGCACACGAACACAGAGGTCAGAGCATGCAGCTCTCAGCAGCTCTCTCACCTTTTCTTCCTTTCCAGGTGTTGATGGAGCCTGTGCCCAAGTGGAGAAATGTCCGTGGCCACAATCCTCTGGTGAGTGGTTGTTTCCTGCCCAAAGCCTTCAATACCTAGGAGTGGTGGTACTAGAACCTGAGCAAATCCTGCCTGGGCATTGTCCTCACTGTTTCCTGAGATATGTAGTTAGACAACAGGAGGGACAATCAAAAAATGGTGGATGGTAGTGTTCTGAAACCAAGGATCTCTGCAGCCTGTGTGGGTATATACAGAACTGAGGTACTTCATTTTGTCTGTCTCAGCCTATCTCAAGTGGCTATCAGAACCTGTCTTTGGGCCTACTCTCCAGGAGTTAGTCTGGAGCAGAGTAGCCAGATTCCTGTGAACTCGTGCTTTGGATGTGTGCTTAGCAATACCCAGGGACCAGTGCTGCCTCTGCCCACCCTGAAGCCACTTGTCTGCTTTCCCACGATGCACTTAGAAAGTAGAGTTCATAGTGTGCATGTGACCCTTCTTCATTTAGAATACTCTGCTTGGCTTGCTTGAAAGAGCTAGATAGGGCTGAGCTGGTGAGGCATGCCTGTAAGCCTAGCTATGTGGGAGGCAAAGATAGAAAGATCACGGTCTGATGCTAGCTGCACAAAAAGCACAAGACCCTATCTAGACAAAAAGGTGACGTATGAGTAGAGACCCAAACATGAGGAAGGGAGACTTCTGAGGAAGAATGTTCTGGTAGGTGTGGCAAGTTGCAAAGGCCCTGAGGAGGGTTCTGATCACTGTGGATATGCTGTTGGAAGCTAGGTCAGCAAGAGGAGAGAGGATTTTAGTAATTCTCTAGCGTCCTGTGGGCCATACTGAGGATCTGGATTTCCTTCTGAATGCAATGCAAAGCCCCTAGAAGGCTCAGAGAAAGGAGTGACAGGAACGGATTTAGGCTTAACAGGGTCACTGGGTGCAAAATAGCTGTCAGAAACTCAAAGAACATTTACTGAATGACTGAGTGCTTCTTCTCCAGGAGACACCTCTTGCTTGCTCGACCTGCCACTTGGCATCCTGTAACCACCTTGCTGTCTGTGTCTGTCTGCCCTATTCAGAGGGCCCCGTGGCTGTGCTAGGCCCGTCCTTCTGGGCCCGCCCTGTGTCATGTAGGTTCTTGAAGTAGTTTTTTCAGTGACTAGCGTCCTGAGGTGCCACTTGAGTGCCAGGTGCTGCGTTCTCCTTCTGCAGAGTCTGATGTACGGTGACGCCCGCCGATGGGGCCTTACGCTGCAGACGTACGTGCAGCTCACCATGCTGGACCAGCACACTCGTCCGCAGGTATGCGATGCCCCATTTCAACCTTCCCAAATGAGATTTCTTTCAAATTAGGGGGATGAGTGCCAGGGAGGGAGGTCTGACAGGAAGCCCAGCTAGGCCTGCAGTGCTGTGCAGCCTTCTCTGTCTATGGCAGGCTCCCTGAGGACCCACCTCCAGCGTCCCCCATCCACCCATCTCAGCCACCCAGGGGGTCACCCTGAGCTCACGTCTCCAGGACCTAGGAACTTGTTGGAAATGCACAGCCCTTACCACCCCCCCCAGCTCCCTGCTGCCTGACCTACTGAGTTAGAAATTTCAGCCCAGCATCTCTGCTCTATCCAGCTGTCCAGACACCACCCATGCTGTTGTGTCGAGTATCTCCATGCTCCAGAACCACTGATGTCTGGTTTTGAATTCATATTCTTAAAAGAAAGCATCTGATTGGTTCAGCTTGAGTCACATGGCTGGCTCTGGTTCCATGTGGTGCTGGTGTAGAGACATAGGGTACCTGGTCACTGTGGATGGAAGAGACCGGGAACATACTGTGTCTGGCTGCAAAGACTCCAATTGGTACCTGTAGGAAGAAGCTACAAGCACATCTGAGAGACCAGTGAGAGAGCTTCTTCTCCACACAGGGAGAAGCATTTAAGATAACTATGTTACTTGATAAGATCTGGCCAGTGTTAATCTGCAAACACCTACGTAATCTGTTAATGCTGGCACAGCCATGGGGCCGAGCAGTTTGATTCAAGTGTGTGTGGGCACCTACCTGTAGCTCTCCTATCCTTCTATTGACATAGTCTGTAGCTTTTAAAATCAGAAGATGGGAGTGGAGTCTGAATTTCTCTCCCCCAATATTTCCCTATAATTGGTATCGATCAGAACATCTGCAGTTAGCCCGTTTCCCCTGTCTGGCCCCGTATTTCCCCAGTGGACACGCAGTTGGAAACCTAAATTGTATCTAGTGATATCTGAGTAGAGTAGGACTTGGGTGGAAATCTATTGCTAAGAAGGAAAACAGCAAGGGAGCTGGGCTGAAGAAGAAGCAGAAGGAGGTGACTGGATTGGGAGTCAGGGAAAGATGGGCTCCGGAGCCCATGTAGCACAGTGATTTCCACTGGGTGTGGAGGACATGTCCCCCTCCTGCTTCTCCAAGGGACACTAGACAAGAGAAAGTTCTGTGGAGGGCCTGAGCACCTGGCAGAGAGGGGTGATGTTCAGTCATCTTCCTTTGGGGTGCAGTCCTTCTGGTTTTCACAGGCAGAGCCCCCCCCCCCCAGAAGGTAGCCCTGACCCCAGCTGGCTCTGGTGAGCCCCTTGTAAGCACATTCATCCTGTTCAGGGCTGACCTCTCTGCACCGGGTCTTCAGTGCATGGCATGTGGCAGTTTCTAGGCTTCCCACATTCCAGGTGAGCCTAGAAGATAGGGCAGCTGCTGGCATCCCTCAACCTTGTGTGTTCCTGTGCTATCTTCTCTGTTCAGAGTGGGGACAGGTCAGGGTGGTGGGTGGAGCAGAGTAGAGCCTTAGGGAAGACTGGGCTCTTCCTTGGGTCCTGATCCTGGGTCCTGTGGACTCTGGCCTCTCTGTATTCTGCAGAATGTGGGCACAAGCCTGATAGGGCCAGATGTATTTTTCAGGGTATCCTGACTCCTCTTTTTCACTGAATTGCTAGATCACTTTTTTATTTTCCTTTAGATGTCACCTGTTCGGTTGATGGAGAGGTCGATTCACAGTGCAAGATACATTTTTGTAGAGAACCTGTATAGAAGGTACATTAGTTTGCATGGTTGATAATTTATTGAATCACTCTTTGTTTATTTGTTTTTGTCGGTTGTGAAACTTGAACTCTGGCTGTGGGAGCTGTCTCTGAGCTCTTTTGCTCAAGGCTAGTGCTTTTTCACTTTGAGCCACAGCACCACTTCCCATTATCTGGTGGTTAATTGGAGATAAGACTTTCCTGCCTGGGCTGGCTTTGAACCTAGAGTTTCAGATCTCAGCCTCCTGAGTAATTAAGATTACAGCCTGAAGCACTGGTGTCTTTTAAAAAAAAATACTAGAATTTGAACGTAGTCTTGTGCTTACTAGAGAAGAGCTATAAGGCTCCTTGAGCGATGCCCTCAGCCCAAATGAATGCTTTCCTTTTTTTTTTTTTTTTTTGCCAGTCGTGGGGCCTGAACTCTGGGCCTGGGCACTGTCCCTCAGATGTTCAGCTCAAGGCTAGTGCTCTACCACTTGAGCCACAGTGCCACTTCTGGCTCTTTTTCTGCTTATGTGGTGCTGAGGAATTGAACCCAGGGCCTCATGCATGCAAAGCAAGCACTCTACCACTGAGCCGCCTTCCCAGCCCCCAAAAGGAATGAATTTTTGAAATGACATTGTTCATTCATTCAATTATGGAGTGCTGACTGTTGGGTCAGTTATTTGTTGCCTTAGCAATGCTGTGTAACAAGCAATCACAGGTCAGTGAGGGTGGTTGTCTAGAGCTAGTGAGATGGCTGGGGGTGGGCTGAGCTAGGACTTGGCTAAGGCTGACCAGGGCAGCTCATCTCTCTTCTTGCTTGCCATCCTTTTGGGACCAGAAGGAAGCCTGGGTGTTCACATCTTCTGGGGATGCCAGGATCTCCTGGTAGACAAAATACTATGACCAAGATGGCTGTACTCATGTCAAGCTGGATCCCCGTGGTGGTTTTGGGTCTGCATCACATGGAGCATAGAACTGCATTTGGCTAGATCATTCGCCCTTACCTGGAATGGGTACAAGAGCTCAGCTAGGTTATGGCTGAGGTACCAGCCCTGCCCCAGACTTGTGTTTCTAGGAAATACAAGGGACATTTCCTAGGGGAGTCAGTTGTGATCCCTTCAGGCCTGTACTTGGTATTTTTCTCAGGAGCCCTAGCAGCTTTGGATAGGGACCTGTGTGGACCTGGAGGAAGGGGGCATGGCAGACACAGCCTTGCTGTCGGCAGTTGCAGGCTTGGGTTCCCAGAATAATCTGGAATTCTGCATCTCAATAAAAGCAAAATTTCTCTAAGGGTATCCTTGCGCTTGTGAAGAAATCACCTGGGGGAGAGCCCCAAGTTTTCTACCTGCCCCATTCCTCAGCCAGGTTAGGGAGGGTAGAAGGAGGCAATTATGTCCTTGTGAGGGGGTTGTGTTAATTGCTGAAGAGGAAGATCTGGTTACAGGGTGTCTTGAAAGATGGGAACTTGGGAGGTGTGGGCACCAGGCAATGGAAAGCCGCAGGTGGTGAACAAGCGTCAAGAGGCCACACAGGCCATTGTGTTGCCAACCCTGTGGGCTGAATAATTGCATGCGGAGGTTTTACAGGGTTGCTGCCTGGGTCTCCTTTCCTCAGAACAGAAGTGAAGGAATTGAGTGGGGCCCAGCTGGGGACAGGGCCGTGGCTGACTCACCTGGCATGTTGGGACAATGAGTAAGTCCTCCCACCTCCCCTGCTGGCCCTGTGGTGTGGACCCTCCTCTGCTCTGGTCCCCACCAAGGACTCAGGGCCTGTCTCACTGGCCTGAGACTGCAGCTTTCAGTTTGCAGACCCGATGGGTTTTGGGGCCAAGCAGGGCTTGCCCAGACAGCATTGGGCCTAACTTTCCTTAGCCTCAGTTTTCCTCCTCTCTGAGTTGGAACTAAACCTGGCCTTATAAAGAAGAAATAATTTATACAAACTAGTGTTTGACTAGGAGATTATTTTCTTGCTTGTTTGCTTGGGGTGGAGGAGACACAAAATCTTACTACCTGGTGCAGGCTGGCTGACCAAGAAGTAGTGATCTTGATGTAACTGGATTCAGGTCCCTAGGTTTTGTGGCCAGAAAGTCCTTGATCTCATTGAAGAAAAATTCATGGAGCTACTCAGAGGAGGCTTTAAGTGGGCTTATGAAGGCAAAGCAGAGTGAAAAAGCCAAAATATCCCCTCCAGATAGGCAGGTAATCATGCTAAAGAGGGAGCACTGGGGGGTCCCAAGACCTCAAAGTTTGTATTGGGGTTTGTTGTCATGGGGGCGGTCCATCCTGGAACACTGGGTTAATGTATCACCAACTTCCAAAGACTGGATGGTCTAACCATGACTGACACTTTCTACAGGCTGTGATATCAACAGTCAAGCCAGTCTTCTCAGCCCCCTTTCCTAATGCACGGTCTAACTCCTGTATCACTCCTGCGTCAGCCTCCAGAGCTGGGATCACAGGCTTGACCCACCACACCTGGCCTTAATGTGGTTTCTTAAACATCACATCCTCTTGGCTGAACTAACTGGAACCTGACAAAGTCGCCAGAACCATGAGGCGCTCCCTGGCTCAGTTAATGGACTAGTTAATTTGGTGCCTCTGGCTCCATTTTCCTGTTCCATGTCTTGTTCCTGACCTTGGTATGATTCCTTTGTGGTGACAGGATCGTTGTGGCATAGCATGCTTCTGATTGGCTGACAGGAAAGAGCAGGTGTCATGCCAGCTGTGTGCCCCTCAGCCCTTTAGCCCATGCTCCCCCTTCACTGGTCCAGTTTGTGCTCCACACTTCCCAAAGCTTGAGGTGGGACTGGGTCTCTGGCAGCAAGGCCATGTCCTGAAGAGGAAATGGGTGAGAAGACAGGTGGGCAGGGAGGCAGCCTCCGGTCCTTGCCTTGGTGGTGCCTGCATGTCATCGTGCTTGAGCCCCCTCTGCACTTCCTCCCACTCCTGCTCCCCTCCCCTCCATGGTTTCTACTTCTTCTGCTCCTAACCAGGTCATTGCGGATCATATTAATTGCTTTCCCATCAGGCTCAGTTCTGCCCTGCAGAGAGCATCTGATGGCCCCAGAGTCCAGAGAGAATGTCCTTCTCCAGTGTGTACCAGACCTTGTATTTGGATCCCATTGGAAGGCTGCTTGTGTCCTTGGTCTCCCAGAACACCTCCCTCCCACCTTTTCATCTTCTCACGTATTCCCATCTCCCACCCCTCCCAATGGGGCTGGAGTTGGTCCACACAAGGGCAAAGACTAGTCACTTCTCCCACCCATCAGAAGCCCTGGCTTGTTTGCTCTCCCCATGTCTAGCCTGGCCACAACCAGAGCCGAAAGGATTTCCCACAGGGAGGATTCCTCTCCAGGCCCTGTGGTGGCTCCTCCTGCTTCTGAGCCTGTGCCCTGTGGCTACTGCCATCCCTGTCTTTCCCTGTCCAGTCCATGTCCTCTCAGGGCAGAGGATGCTCAGGATGCCAGGACTAGTCCTCTTCCTTTCTTACTAAGCTAACATTTAAAACATGTAATAATGCCCCTCCCTTCCCACTCTTGACTTGAGAAGGAACATGTTATTAAAATGTAGAAAATACAAAAAGATACAAAGAAAAAAAAAAACCCACCAAGTGTCTTATAGTTCTTGAGTGCAGAGAAAAGCTGTTAATGCTCTGGCGTTTGGCTTTCTAGCTGTTTCAAATCAAGTGGATGAATATTTTTGAAACTCTGGCCGGGGTCATACTGTGTACACAGTTTTATGTCCTGCTGTGTTCACTGAGCATTGGATTTGGAGCATTTCCCATGTTATTAAGTATTGCTCACCATCTTCCCCCAGTTGCTGCATGGTTTTTCTGGTATATAGATAGATCAAGATTTTCTTTGTCATTTATTTTAATTGTGCTCTAGTGAACACCCATGATTCTTTCCACAAAAGAAGTTTCAATGAGGGAAATTGATTTGCTGCTCTATCTCCCAACTTGAATGCTGTCTCCATTCTCAGGGGACAAACTTCCAAGTGCCCTTCTGTGCTTGGAGTTCAGATTCCAGGTGCATTCTTCAGTGCCATGGCTCTCGCTGGCATTGTGCTGCACACCATCCCCTGCAGTGAAGATCAGAATCGCCCAGGGTCCTGGCTTACCACACATCCAGCATTGTGCCAGGTGCACTTGGTGATGCCCTTCTACAAAAGGCACCCCGTGGCTGTTTTTTAGAGTCTGGCACAGCCCAGAAACTTCCTCACAGGTACTAAAGCCCTTACAATTCTCACTGCAGTGGGAAGATGGCGGAAGTGGATTATGTGGTTCTCTCAGAATGGTTTGACTGGATCGTGAGGAACATAAACGTGTCTGTGGATCTGATCGGTAAGACGGTCATCCCCTGCCCCTGCCTGCCAGCGCCCCTGGACGCTCAGGATCCGGCCCTGCAGGGGTGTGATGAATCCCACCTTCTCCCTACGGGCAGACAGAAGTCAGGGGTTTCTGCCCATCCCACAGAAGGGCTTTGGCCTTGACCCCTAAGCTGCCCTCTCCTGGTCCCACTCCTCCCAGGCTGGGTTTTCTGGATTGTGGAGGTAGAGGACAGAAACTGGACATGTATACTGAGGGCTCTGCCCCGTCCACGGGTGGAATTGCTTTCATTCTCACAGTGATCCTGTGGAGCTGGAATATCAGATGGGAATGGAAATGTGGGGATGAGGCCAGTGGCAGTCAGGAGCCGGCCCCCTGGGCTGAGGCCCCAGCTCAGCCACTTGGCTCCTCTCCATGCTGAGCCCATGCGCCTTCCTTGGCTTTTACGCAAGTCATGTGTAGAGTAACAAAAGCCTTTTTTTTTTTAAACCTCAGTTTATCTCCGGACCACTCCTGAGATCTGTTACCAGAGATTAAAGATGAGGTGCAGGGAAGAGGAGAAGGTCATTCCCCTGGTAAGAGGTCAGAGACAACCGGAAACCACCTCCAACCCCACCAGCTTCCCCTCCCCCTACTATGACGTCACCATGCTGCTGACCCAGGAAGGGTTGCGGGAGGGCAAACTCGGACTTCCTCTATGGTTGGCAGGGCTTGCCTGGGTAGTGCCAGGCCCTGGAGACTGCCAGGCCTGTGTGCTCCTCTGGATCCTTACTAGAGTGTGAGTTCTGGGAGGGTAGAACCCAGCCTCTCACTCCCTGCTGTGGTTTGTGTTTAGTTAGCAAAGTGCCGCATGTGCAAGGTGCTCAGTCCTGTTACTTTGAACCCAGAGCAGGGCAGCCTTGCCTGTTGGGTAGGGTTCTGGCTTAAGGTCACATCGAGTCTCACTGAGGCTTGGTTCTGTTCCCCCTGCCATGGTCCCTCAGTCTCCAAATCTCCCTCCGAAATCCAGCCTCCAGCAACAGGTGTAATCCCAGTGCAGAATGACACTCAGGTAATTGCCCAGCTCAGGACCCTCAGGGCCTCACACTCTCTACAAGTCCATGTAGCAGGACCCCGTATGACCTGTCCCAGCTGTCTGTGGCATTGTCTCTCAGCTCCCTTGCCTTCCATGCTGTGGCCATAAGGAACCAGTTGTGGGTCATACACACAGGTGACACCATGGAATTATGAAAATGTGCTTTTGTGCAATGCTTTCCTCCGCCTTCAAAGACCAGCTCAGATGTCACTTCCTCCAGGAAGTCTTCCCTGACCTTTTCTCCTCCGTTGTGTCTCCCTGCCCCTTGGGCTTGCTTAGGACTGTGTACTGATGGTGTTGGTTTATGTCTTTGCTCCTCAACCCTCGTTAAGTCCTGAGTTTTTACAGAGCTGATCTCACTCTGTGTCCTCAGTATGTGAGCTGGTACTTGGTAGCTGCTCAGTTAATACTGAACTGAATGTGACCCTGGGCTCAGGATAAGCTGGACTGAAAGGCCTGCTTCACCCTGAGTCCCTGCCCAGCCAGGTTTTACCCTGGACCAGTGAGATACATTCTGGCCACGAAGACTTCAATCTGGGCAGCTCCTTTGAAGTCCCAGAGACAGGAGTGATGGGGAACGGTGTGTCATGGGCTAGGCTCTCATGTGGGCACCACAGCATGTGATGACCCGGATGTTCCCAAGAAGTTCCACATGAGGAGTCCTTAACGATTCTGACAAGGTCTGTGTACAGACGTGGTCAAGGGAAAGCTTGGTGATAGGCTGCTGCAGGCTGGGGGCTGGGGGTGGGGGTTGTTCCCCTTGTTACTCCTGACAGCCTTAGAGCCTTCATTTCCCTGGCAGGAGTACCTGGAAGCCATTCACCGGCTGTATGAGGAGTGGCTCATCACTGGAAGTCTCTTCCCCATAGAGGCCCCTGTCCTGGTAAGTCAGGACTTCCCCAGGGAGGGCGAAGGGGTGTCAGCTATCCTGTAGATGGGGGTGGTCCTTAGAGGAGGGAGGAAAGGACTTCTTAGTCCCCATTTTTCTTTAGCTGAGTCTCAGAGTGACTCCGACGCACCTGAGGGAAGGCCACCTGTCCCAGTCCATGACACCTGCTGCTTTAGCAGTCTGTCACCCAGTGTCAGCTGCAAACGGAGCCTCTGTGCCTGGGTTTGGACCTTTGGGGGTGGTGGTCCCTCTGCTGTGACCTTCCTTCTTCAGTGAATGACACAGCCTCAGTTTACCTTTGTTGGTGACTCTAGGTCATCAGAAGGCATATCAGTGGCTATGCTGGGCTGTGGCATGGTGGTGCCCTTGGGAGGTGCCGAAGTGTGCAGGGATGTTTGCCTGACCTTTGCTGCCTTTCAGTTCCGGTGCTGGCCTTCCTTTCCTCCGTGGCCTTGCTTTCTCTTTGCAGCCATGCATTATTATTTCTAAGGGCACGGGCGCATCTGCCTCATCATTTCCTGCTGCCTATCCCCTACGCTCTGGCTTGCTCTACCCTATTTTTTTCAGGCGAGCTGTCAGAATCTGAGGCTGTTTCATGAAAAATAGGAGGATCAAGAACTTTTTGTGCATGGCCTTGGAATGTACACTCTTTTGGATGTTACAGTCTTGGTGCTGTTGGCAAGGGACATATGGGGGGAGGGGAGGATTTTAAAAGCCTTTTATTAGAAAAAAAATAAAGGTTGTAAAATGATGAGAGAGGCTGGGATGTAGCTCAGTGGTAGAGTGCTGGCCTAGCCTATGGGAGGCTCTTCACTCCATCCCCAAGATCGTAGGGAAACAAATTATCAAAAAATACCAGAGGAGAAACAGCATTCACGAGCCCCCTGCAAGGAAAGCCTAGTTCAGGGCAGACCGCCTTAGAGCTGGGGCCATTTCACTTCAGCCTTCCCTGCCTTTCTGCCTGCATCCTTGGTTTCTGTACCTTTCCTGCCTCCCCCGGGAAGACGGTGTGGAGGTCCATACAGCTTGTGACCTGTGTTGTTTGATTTCCAGGTGATGGAGGCCGACCACGACATGGAGAAAATGTTAGAGCTCTTTGAACAAAACCGGGCCCGGATATTCGCTCCGGAGAACTGGAAGCATGGCCCATAGGGTGGGAAAGATCTGTAGGATCATGGCAGGAAGTTGCCTGCAGCTGCCAAGGTAGCTGTTAGGAACAATTAGAAAAAAAAAAAAAAATCTCTTAGGATAGCCTCTTACCTGGCCAGATTTATTTTCCTAACGGCCTTTTCTCTTTGGCCAATGTCTTTATCGTGGGACCAATGGACTTATCTGTCATGCCCTTTGGGATTTGCAGCTGCTCATCCATAACCTCTCATGGCTTCCCACTGCCTGGTCCCGTCTCTGAAGCCCTTAGGCAGAACACCTGTTGTAAACCAGTGTCATACTGTTTTCAGACTACCCAGCCGGGTGAGGAAGCAATCTTACATATCCTAGGTACGGATTTGCAGTTTAGAGAGGTCCAGGGACTCCCCTAAGCCACACAGCCAGTGCACAAAAAAGCCAGCACCATTGGTCTGGGCTGCCTCATCTTGAGCTCTGTTCCCTACCATCTTGCCGCTGCCTGCTGTAACCTCTCACATCTTTGTGGGGGAGAGCTGACAGTACATGGAGCTGATCTCACCCTCCCAATTTTGACCAGCTCTCAAGGACACAATCAGAATTTCTAGACCTTCATAAAACTGTGCTGTTTGGTTCTGGCCCAGTGATGCGTGATTTCTTGGCTCAGAGTTGCTGTAGCCTCAACCCCCTGCTCATCTGGAAGTGGACAGCCACGGAACAGGCAAGAAAATAGTCAGGGCCTGGCTGTTCAGCCCACTGCCAAGTTGGGGTCAGCCCAGCTTGTGGCGCTCCCTTATTTTCTTATGTTCCAGGGGCTTTGTTCTTGGAATTACTGTCAAGTCTTTTGAAATGTTTTTCCATCCCAGGGGACATCTCAGGGCATAGAGCATGATGCCATCTTTACTGGACCAGAAGATAGTTTAGTTTTACTCAGCTGTAGCAGCACTGAGGGCTCAGCTATATCTTGAAATGGATGGGAAGCAAGAGGAAGGAAGAACATCTCCTTTGGGAGGTAGTTAACAGGAAAAGGATCTTGAAGTGTTGCTGCTCCTGGCTTTCTGGAACAGGGTGGAGAGCCCCCTAAGACAGCACAGCACTGGGAACGGTTACTGTGTGGCTAGTTGCAAATGAGGATTCCCTCCAACCCTCCCCCCAAATGTGGACATCTTCCCAAAGGGTACCAAGGCACACCTTGTGGTCCAGCCCCAGAGAATGCTAATAGGTCAAGGATTCTAGTTCTGGGTCCTGTCTGGACCAGTTCTTGAATCTCATCAACAGAAACTCAAATGCTGCTAATTAGCTAGAAAAGGGAGGAAGGCAGGAACCTTAGTACCAGAAACCCTCACATATTGGGACCATCTTTGGGAGTTGACAAACAGTCCAGTACATTTCCCCCTTGGCTCAATTTGAGCATTTGTTTTGGGAGAAATGTGATTTTCTTCTTGCTTATGGTAGCCAATAAATCCATCACCTAAACCCTGATGTTCATTTTTGAGCACTTCCTAAGCCAGGGACTTCAGCTCCCTTTGCCATTCTTATTTTTAAAAACCATGTTTCTTATTTATCTCTTTTTTTGGTGTGTGTGTGTGTGTGTGTGTGTGTTTGGGGTGTATGTTGCTGGGAATTGATCCTGGTGTGTGTGTGTGTGTGTGTGTGTGTTTGGGGTGTATGTTGCTGGGAATTGATCCTGGTGTGTGTGTGTGTGTGTGTTTGGGGTGTATGTTGCTGGGAATTGATCCTGGTGTGTGTGTGTGTGTGTGTTTGGGGTGTATGTTGCTGGGAATTGATCCTGGTGTGTGTGTGTGTGTGTGTGTGTGTGTGTGGCTGGGAATTGATCCTGGGCCCTCATCTGTGCTAGGCAAGCACTCTACTGCTGAGCTATATCTGCAACCTTCCCATGCCTTGACACCTGTGCTTGTCACCATGTGGTCACTGTCTGCCTCTGGCCTTGGAGTTGATAGGTAGTACCTGTACCTATTAGGGAACATGGCAGAGCCTGCTGTTCTGTGAGTGGCCAGTTCTCCTAGCTTCCTCCTATTGTCAATGTTTGGCTCCTTCTCTCCAGAGTGAGCATGTGGCTCAGGTCCACCCAATCAGCTACAGCCAATCAGAGACTCTCCAGGAAGTCATTCTGTGACCCCAGTCACAGCCAAGGATACTATTCTCCGTCACAGGCATTCAGAGACTATCCCTTGCTGAGTTGTGGGCCTGTGGGCCTGGCGCGACCACCAGAGCAGCAGAGATGAGGCAGTCCCAGCCCCTTAGAAGGCGGTCAGTTGTGCGACAGAGGCTGTGACAATGGCCTGAACAACACAGCCCTAGGGTTCCTTGCAGACCAGTTGGGTGGGCGCAACTGTGTTGCACCCCTGAGGTAGACACACCCAGGCCCTAAATTCACACATACCAGCCAGCCTGGGCAGGTCCTGGGCTTGTGAGGATCAATGTGAGGCCCAGCAGAGCACAGCTGGGGACTGAAGATTCATCACCGGTGGCAATGGGGGCAATGGGGGCAGGTGTGGGTAGGAAATGGGAACAGCTGAGCGGGAGCACGGGCGATTGCATGCATGTGGGGCACTGGGTGATGACGTCACGCGGGAGGGTATCCTGGGGTCTCGAGGAGGCTGGGAGGCAGGTTATACCTGAAAATGGAATGCTTCCAATGGATTCAACCTCACAGAACACCCAAGGGTAGAAGACAAGCCCAGGATGAAAATGACAAGTTTGGTCCACAGCTAGGAGTATCCATGGGCAGGGGATTTCTTTTTTCTTTTTTTAAATTTTATTTTCCTGGGTCAGGTTGTGGGGCCTGAACGCTGTCCCTCAGCTCTTCAGCCCAAGGATAACACTCTACCACTTGAGCAGCAGCACCACTTCAGGCTTTTTTCTTTATGTGGTGCGGAGGAATCAAACCCAGGGCCTCATGCATACAAGGCAAGCGCTCTACCACTGAGCCATCTTCCCAGCCCCCTGAGCAGAAGATTTCAAAGTGGGCAAGTTTCCTTACTCTTAATAGTAGCCTTGTTTTACCCGAGCAGTGGCAACAAGCAGCCAGCAGGTGGCAGTGCTAGCTCAGAGTATGAGTAGTGGGTTGGGACCTCTTGCTTCCATTCCCCAGAAGTCTACTCTTTAGGACTGAACCCCAGTGTCAGGCACTTGAGGGTCTAGGGCATAAGATGGAGTGGGAAGGACGTCTGATAGAGGATGGGAACCAGTGATCAATGGCCAGAGCCACGGTTTTATTTATTTTTGGTACATCAGAGTCTGGCCTTGAGGGTTTATGCTCAAGGCTAGTACTCTACTACTTTGAACCACAGCTCCACTTTCAGCCTTTTGTGGTTAATTGGAGATAAAGGTCTTTCCTACCCAGGTTGGCTTTGAACCACGATCCACAGATCTCAGCTTCCTGAGTAGCTAGGATTGTACGTGTGAGCACCCATCTCAGGGACATGGTTTTTAAAGAAAGCACAGAAAGGAAGGAGAATGAGGGGGAAAAGCCAAGTGAGAATGTTGAGTCCCTGACTTCAAGCCCCACTACTAGCACCAAAACAACAGCAGCAGCAACGCCACCACCAAAGCAACAACAAAGCAAAAGAAACAAGAATTCCTGTGACTTTCCCTGTACAGGAGCACTGAGCTTAGCAGGCGAAAGGCGGGAGGAGGGCTTCAGTGTCTCAGACCTGTCAGATCACAGGAAGCTTTCCTGCTGGGAGACAGATTTACAGATCACTGCTGCTTAGGGGATTCTTTCCCTTTCAATCTGTTTTGGACATATGACCCTTCATTGCTCTTTTCAAGCAGTTACATCTTGCTACATTTTAGATAGGATATATTTATTTTAGACACAGAAAAGATACATCATTGCTTATTCAGCTTCCAGTAGTCCAGGAACAAGAAAAGCTGTTGGGTTCTGACACTGATGTAGACAGGGAGTCCTCAAAACAGGCTGTTTCTTAAGAGTCTCATTTGAAAGGCTATCTACTACAGTGTAACAGACGGGTATTTTTGCCTGGAAAGCAGTAGACCATAAAGGTGGGCAGAGCTGCTTGTAAACAAGGTCCAGGATGCTTCACACAGGATGCTACAGAACCTCTGGGTTCAGCTCTGTACTGGAAGAAGGGCTATTTCTTCAGAAAAGAATACTGAAGCTCTCCTTCCTCACCACCCCTTTTCTTAAGAAAGGGATTACAGAATTAATTATCTTAGCCCTTCATTAGAGGAATTGTAGTGAGGGAGGAAGATGGATGGGGCCGGGGCATCTACTGCTTAAGAAGGGGTGGAGGGAAGCCAGACACCCTGCTCCCTGCTGGGGGCAGATGCTGGCTGGGGGCGTTCTAAAGATGCTCAGCCACCACCATCGGCAGGCAGGCCAGGTCCTCAGGGATCACCCCTGATCCCTATGTGGTTTTGGATGTTGATTGCTGGAGTTCAGAGGTCAAATCTGAACCTTTCCAGAACCAGGCTGGCCTTGTAAATCCTCTAGCGAGACCCGGCAGCAAGGTTGAGACACTGGTCCTCTGGTGGTGCCAAGGTGGTTTTTTGTTTTTGTTGGGCCTGGGGCTTGAACTCAGAGCCTGGACACTGTCACAGTGCTCAAGGCTAGCGCTTTACCACTTTGAGCCACAGCACCACTTCTGGTTTTCTGTTGGTTAACTGGAGATAAGAGTCTCATAGACTTCCCTGCCCAGGCTGGCTTTGAACCGTGATCCTCAGATCTCAGCCTCCTGAGTAGCTAGGATGACAGGCACCCGGGTGGCTATTAAGATGGTTTTGATGAAGCTGTTGACCCCTGTATTTCGACTGAGTTCACATCAATGAGCTGCTACCCAGCCATTCGTGCTCAGGCCCTCTGGCTTGGGGAGGCGTTGATGGAGTGACAGGCCCTTATTTGGCATGGGCACTCCTGGGCAGCACTGTGGCCAGGCTACCCAGACAGAGATGGTGGTTTTACCTTCTTTGAAGCCATCAGTCCTGGGGCAATGGTTGAATGAATAGAGAACCATATACCTCCACCCCTGTACACCCAGGGCCTGCTCCAGCCTCTCTAGCTCGGGGTGGGTTGCTGAGATCATCCCCTAGCACCTCCACACTGAGGGTGTTGAGTTGGGGTGGGTTGTGAGGGACCTCCACATCATGCCTGAGCCCCCAGATCTGTGCCCTGCCC